TTTCTTTAAAGAAGATAAATAATTATGACACTGAATAGTAGAATTCAATTTTGTGGAAAAATTCCATTGAACTATGTAATTTTTTTGAAGCATTAACGTTTCTAATATTATTTTCAAGGGGTATTTTTCAAGGGGTATTTTTAAAATAAAGAAAGAAAAAGGATAGTTCCTAATGGAAATGCCGAAAATGTATTATTGTTTATTTACAGTTGGGTTACAGATTCTAAAGTATCGTTCAACTTACCTTTAAAATAACAAAAGTCGTAATAAATTTCTTTTTTCTAGACTACGATTTTTTTTAACTGTTAGATAATATTCGTTATCTTTTAGAAGACCTTATATAAAATCATTGGTATTATTCGTGGAACTTTCCTAAGAATTATTATTGTATCAATATGTTTCACTTAGGTTAAATATATACATATGTATATAGTAGATAAATTAATTTTATATAATTTCATAGATTTAGTAAATATTAATTAAAAATATACATTACAAATTAGGAAATAATTTAAATGGGAAAGGTTGTTAGGAATAACTCGAAAAACGTGTCCAGCGAAACCCAAAAAGTTCAAAATTAAATCATACAAAACTTTTTGGATATGAAAATTAGCATTTATTAAAAAAAAGATAATTATTCACTACAACATTCTTTGTTATTTACTGATCACGTCTGTATATATTTAATTATGTTAGGAAAGCTTATTGCTATCTCCTTGTGTAAAAAACAAGTAAATTAAATAATTTCATATGATTGATTGACTTAGAGTTTTAAAATGTTCAATATAAGAAAATAAGGATGATCAAATCTCGCGGTGACATTTTATATCGCCTAAATTATATTATGGCCTTATATATTAATGTAATATCCATGTTGACGATATTGCAAATAATAAGGGTTTTAAGTCTCTTGGTTTCTTACGTAACTGCAGGCAATTTAGGAATTCACGCACTAAAATAATTATTTATTCAGCCCTGGTACGTACCATTTTAGAATATTGTAGTGTCGTAAGGAATCCTCATTTTAATATTTATTCACAAAGAATAGAAAGGATTCAGAAACGATTTCTTTGGCATTTGTGCTTTGATATTAACCTAGTCAAAACACTTAGGACATACGAAGATAGGCTCAAATTCTTTAAACTACATTTACTTTCGGATCTAAGATAGCTGTGTCCCTGTTTATTAAAACAATTAAGTATTCTTGCAACGGTAAGAATATTAAGACCGTCGTCTTATACTCCATTTGTAGAAAAACCTACACGCTCACGCTACTCTCCAATTAATAGATTAATGTTAAGTTACAATGCTATCTATAAATTAACAAAAAATAATTGTACTGTTTCATCCACTATTGACAAAAAGCAATTAGATAGAAAGATGGATATTGATATATTTTGTAATAGCCTTGTGAAATTTAAATGTAATTTACTAAATTTTTATTCGTTATATAATTATAATGTAAAGTAATCTAATATGATGGTTGTGTTGTATTGACTCATTAATTTGTTTTATGTATTTTATTTTATTGGATATTGTAATTCTTTATTTTATTTATTAATGATATTAAAGTACAAAATTATAAATATTTTAAATTTATTTTTTATAATACACTACTAATTATTTTAATGTTTATGTTGACGATTATTAGTATTTTTTTTTTCTAATTTTCCTTTGTGCAATTAATATAATGTAATTTTATCTGCATATTACGTGTCTATTTTTCTTTGAAATGTGTAATAATAATTTGTAACACCTATAATTAAGACAACATTTTGATTTTATGATTACTTGTTCAATATTGTATTTTTCGCTTTTATTCATGTATGTCTTGTTGGTGTTAATAAATAAGTAAAATATCACAATTATTTATATTGTTTTAATATAAATTTTAAAAGCCAGTGGTGGCCTAGTGGTTAAAGTGGTGGCAAGTACCAATGTGATTTTTCCAAGTGATATGTACTTTCTGAGAGTATTTAGACACCACTTACAGACAGTGAAGGAGTACATCTTGAAACCTGGACTTATAGTTTCACAATTATAAGTTTGAAATCACTAACCCGTCTTGACCCGTCCTAAGCGTGGTGATTAATACATTCCCGAAAGAGGAATGATGTCAGTCAGGCGGCCGGTCGTAAAAACAATTAGCCAAAACTATTTACATATTGTAAGGCAGACCCTGGCTAAAGCTAGGAAATTGCCAGGACGAAGAAGAAGAAGATAAATTATAGCGAACCTTTCATTATAGAATATTTTCCAGCTATGCCACGTCATATTACAGATATCGTGAAGGTGCTTAAAGGTTGGTAATATAAGGCAATACTTTAAATCAAATGACTACACAGCATATATGTATATACTCAGTTGTACTTGCAAGTTTACTTCGTTTTTTGAGTATAATTATAGTAAATTTAAATAAAATGTGTGCTGTTTTTTTTACTACGGATGATTCTGAGTGATCGTAGTGATATTGTTTACGCTGAAATCGAAACTGAAATAAATTTTGTTGAATTTCTTTTCTACTTTTTATTTGAGCATATAATACTCATTTTCCATTTGTTTAGCTGAATCAAAACCCTTATATATATTATTTACGTACATTTATATATTGCCAGAAATTTTTTAGTCAAATTCGTATGATCCAAGATTTTTTTTTTACAATAACAAGCAATATTTTTATTTTATATTTATTTCTTAATACATAGAATTATATGTAAGGCTTTAAGTTTTTTTTTAAATTATAATCACAGTGTTATTTACTGCAAAATTTCCACGATTTATTGTTTGGAATTGCAACGATATATTATTAGGTTGCAATCATATACTTTTTAATAAGTTTTTATGGGCAATAAGGGTTTTTAAATAAAAATATATTTAGTATAAATACAAAGAAAATATAACTTTGATAGTCTCGCAAACTATCGATAACCTTTTATCTTTTAACTTTCATACAACTTAACAGAGGACCCGTAATGATATTACCTCGGTCGGCTTACAGCAAAATCTTTGCTACAACAACTAAGCATCTATATATCTTATACGATTTTACGTTTTTACAACTCACTATACAATAATAAATAATTAATTCACTTACAATTTTCTTAATATTTCAATTTACAAATTTACATCTGTGTGAAAGAAAAACTAAAAATTAACCACAAAAGTAAATGTATCTTTTGAAGTCAAAATAAAACACTTGTATAGGTAAATTATATATAAAATGTATGTAAATTTTTTAATCATTTTGATTTTTATGACAGAGTCTGCTTATGTAAAATAAAACAAAAATATCTAAGGAGAAGATATTAACCGGTGGATTTCGAAATTTCAATTAATATATGTACGTGCTTTCTTTTTCCTTCTTTGGTTTTGTTTTAATATTAAATAGCTGTTCTCTGCGACTTAGCCCGCATATTAAATTCCCTTTGTGATACGCGTCATCATCATTATGACATTTTATTCGATAATTCGAGTTTCCGTAACCAAATCCTGACGTGGCGACAATGGAACTTGAAATGGAATCTTAAGATATATTAATTAGATAAATTTTTTTTTTTGAAAATCGACTCCTAATTCCAAGTGTGTAACAAACATTGAGTCGAATTGTGCAATTCGTTTCTTATTTGAAATTGCTTAAAATATTTTTTTTATGCAGTACCTACAAGTGAAATTCCCAAAAAAAAAAATAGCCAACTGACAGAGAGTTAAGTTACATAGAATGGATTTAATAGTACGGGATCTCAATATGATTGTGCTTGATATATAACTGTTTTAAGTCCTTTCATCCACAGCCAACCATTTATAATAAGCCCCTTTTAGTCCTTTATTGTCTAGCAAAAGTGTAAGTAAAGTTAAAAGTTGTTCTTACTAATCACAAATATCACCTAAAGTGTAATAAAAATCTACTCTGTTCGGAGGCTTTCTGAATATTCATGTAACGAACCCTAAACTCCTTTTAAATAATAACTACAGTCTAAATTGTAGACGTCAAAATTATAGAATTTTTTATGTATTATGTAAAATTTATATAAACTTTTAAGAAATGTTAAGAGACATTCTTGTCACAGTTTTTGATCAAAAACAAATAGTTCATAACAAAACTATGTAGATGAAATAAAATAATAAATGTAAAAAACATTTAAGACAGTGTTATTATTGTACTGAAATATTGGCTTTACGAAATGATTTTACAATGTTTATTATATACATACGAAAATTATATTAGATTTCAAGATAAAAATACACTGTGCTACCATGAATTTCGAGTTACGCATTCCATTCCTCTATTATATTAAAAACTACGCAATAAAAATGCCACGAAAATTTCTGTACAAACAACTATACATAACGATGCTTATTTTAATGTTTACAAAGGGAGCGATATTTTTCAATTAATATGATTACCTAGAATGACATACTGTCAATCAATTTAATTGACGACATCATATTATACACATGGATGATTGGTATTAAGAATAGGGTCGACAAAATGTTAGCAATAATTATGAAAAATATCGATATATAAAGAGATAGATATCGATATCGATAAATTAATTTTAAGACTAAATTTTGAAATTAACAGAAACAAAATTTTTAGTAATTGAATAAACAAACTTTTAATCGTTTTGCTAAAACAGACAACAGACTAAGACTGAAGTCTTTGATATTGGGAACTCTTTAATTGAGACAAATTGAATTCAAAAAAGTAACAAATATAAAGATATTAACTTAAATTGATATAAATTGTAAACAAATTAATATAAACGTCACTTTGAACATTTATATTTTACAGAAGCAACAATTTAAAACATTAATTAATGTTGAAAACAATATAATGACTAGGAAACATAAAGTATCTACAAAAGTAACCAATAGTAGTAAAATAATGGAAATACAGAACTTGTATACTTCGTATAATAGATAATAAATACTTTGTAAACATTAAAAGTTGATATTATATAAATATTGTAACCTTCCTTACTAGTTATTTTCAATAAATGTTAGACATTTGAATGTATTTCAGTTTTTTTCGTTAGGGTCATTCTTCGTACTTTTCTTCCTTTGAGTAGATCCTGAAATATAAATACATATATTATATTAATGATCTTAAACATAGTTATAACATTAAAACATTAGTTTTATTTAAAAAGAAATAGATTATTACCCAATTGTAATAATCTATTTCTTTTTAAGGTCTAGGTCTAGTTCAATAACTAAATAGAATGATATTATTAAACAAAAAAAATATATAAAACAGGAAACTTGTAAAATTATAAGAAAAACTTTAATAAAACATAAGTTATTATGTATTGAACATATAAAACAATCGGAAAAATCCATAAATAATATAATAGCGTTTATACAAAAAAGTCTATTAATATACAACAGAAACATATCTTAAGTGGAAAAATATGAGAAAAACAAGAACTATATACTACTTTTATAGGTTTGTTGATATATAAAAACATTTTTAAATACTTGTTAAGCTGTAACTAGTAAATTTAAACATAGATTTTGCAATACGTTTAATGATCAAGGCTTATGATTTATTTTACTTATCGTGTACTCACTTTAAACGCTTGTCGAAATTTTCTGGACATGAGACTATAAAGTATTGGATTGACTGCAGTCGACATGTAACTGTTTATAGAGCTTAAATATGTGACAGCGCGCCATAGCTGAAAGTGAACAAGTCTGAATGAATTTTCAGTCTTACTTTTAAACATAACTAGTTTGAACTGACGAGCCTTAAAAGTAAAGTAAAGCATTTTGGTATGTGCAGAATTTCGTCTGCAAACCAGGTCTTCAAATTTTATCACTTTCTTCTGAATAGCTATTGTCAGTTTTATTCTAAAAGAGAAATTTAAAAGAAGAAAATTTAAAAGAAAAAAGCCTGGTGATGGTTTAAATGAGGGTTTCCCAACCTTTATTTCACTGAGCCTCCCCAATTCAAATAATATTCTCATGCCCCCTTAAGTTTAAAAACACACATTTTTTTACAACTATATTATTTATTTGAATTAAAATTAAAAACAAAGAGTTCCATACAGATATTTGTAGATATTTATGTTTTAAGGATCTAATAAGAGAAGATATATGTATCTACACTCGAAAACCAGTAATTACTTTCATATTTAGGTAAATATGCTAGTTTTATTTTAATTATTAAGTACTAATGAGATACTTGAGCTCGCATCTTCTGTACTAGTATGTCCATTCTGGGTTCAGTCTTTGCTAGAGCAATGGTTAAATCGCTATCGACGGTAAGATGATTTCGCTTTTTAGTTTTTATGAAAACCAAAGCTGAAAAACCTGTTTCACATAAATATGTGGTCGAAAATGGAATAATTATTCTTAAAGCAAGTGAAGCAATTTTGGAATTAACAAGAAATCGTTTGACCCAAAATTTCTCTAATGTCAAGACATGGAAGTCATCCATGATGGTCGAGTCAGCCTTGTAGATGAGTTTCTATTTCAAATTTCAAATCATTATCCAGTTTTTGATCATGAATCGCTTCGGATAGCCGTGAAAAAGGAAATTGTTTTCAGCAGATAACTTATTTTTCCAAAGTTGAAGCTTTAATATGAAGCCTTGAATATGATCATAGTTACAAATCAAATTGTCATTTCTGCCTTGAAGTTTCAAGTTTAGCTGACTCAGGGCCTCAAAAATATCAGCTAAATAGGTTAGCTTCCGCTGAAATTTTTCATCCTTGAATAGTTGCATAAAATTAAATATCTCACAAACAACAATTTCACGCAAATGTTCTCAATTGTTTTACGAGTGATAGATGGATGCAAGCGGGTAGGTAGGGCGGGGGTAGGTACGCGTGAGTGTCGTGTTGTGACTGTATGTATGTAGAGCACAATACACACTGAGTCCGCCGGGCCGACGATATATGTATGTCGGCAACTTTTTGTCTTTGATTTAATTCTTTTCATACAGGCCAACGGGTTGTGTCGACGACCCAACGGGCTTAGTGTGTATTGCGCTTAAGTACTATTTCTGAAAATTGAACGTACCCATTACGCCCCCCTAGTATTCTACCATGCCCCCCTGGTTGGGAACTCCTGGTTTAAATGGTGATAATAAGATGGTTTAAATTCACTAATTAGGGTGCAGATAGTCTTACAGCTGGTATCGAGTTTATTTAAAAAGAGCCTTCAACGTAGGTATTGTTTTAACTTTGATGTTCACGTAAACATACACACACATAATGCAGAACACAGATAACATTAACTTAAACTGTACAAAACAAAAGCCACGGAAATACTAAGCAGAGATAGCATCAAAATTTCCTGCAGTTGAGCCTTCCTGCATATTTGCATTTGAAGAACTCTATCATTTTGTCACTCAAAGTGCCCATAAAGATAAGGTGGTAAATATTTTAAGAGTAACACTTCTTTAAAACCACATACTTTCGAAGTTTCGGGATTCGATTCGAAATGTGTCGGGATATGGTTTAAAAAATAATAAAATAAAGCTCAGTGTTCCGAAAATGTCAATACCACTCGTTTATTTAAGTAACAAATAAATAAAAAAAAATTTTTCGTATTTACGAACTACAATGTTGCAATATTTATCCGTATTGTAAAATTATTCAGTTCAACGAAAAATAATCATAAATTAATGGATATGAAAATCTTAAGGTTTTTACAAAAAGCACTTGTTAAATTGAAAATAAATTTGCAAAATATTTGTATTGTGACTATCTATTGAAAATGAAAACGGAATATTTAATATGTCAAAGGAATTTTGTACTACTAATGGAATCAATTATGAAGCCTGTTTTTAAACTTCGCTGTGACTTGTTTTCTGCGTAATGAGATGGCTTCTGATTTTTTCCCTAACAAATTCAAAAATATAACTTTATGCAATATTCAATTCAGTTAACGTAGACGATTTGTTTTCTTTATTATTTTTAATAGACAATAAATGTATTGTCATTCCATGGATTCAATTCAGATAAATTTGAAATAATAGTTTAATAAAAATATATTAATTTTGACTAAAGTATCACTGATTTCCATTTCTGTGACAGTGAAATAGGTTTTACTAGGGACAGTTAATGATAATTCATGATTTATGGGAAACAGAGCCAAAGTTCCGACCCTACATCGGTCGAACTGTATATTAATACTTGATATTCACTGAGTTATCAGCTATTCTCGTATAATTATAAATGTATGCAGGAAACAATGCTAATGTATCTGACATGTGAATAGTTCTTGTTAGTTTTAATTTTTGCATTTTTATATCTTCTTATTTAAATTTTATTATTACGAACGACCTGTTAGTCTATAATTATTTTTTGTTTTATTTTTCCTCAGTACTTTTAGGTTTGCAAAATTATTAATTAAGCAAAACTTTTATACCAGAAAATATTCAGAAATGAATTTTAATCGGTGAAACATTTGTGTGTCAATTTGTTTGTAAATCGTCACATCCTAAAAATATATTTTATTTTCAAAGTTTTGTTGGTGTTAACTTAAAACAAAATTACTATTGGATACATATGTATTTACTTACATCGCCATATTCCTCATAAGTTAAATTGGGTATGACAAGCATCATACGAAGTACTGCGTACGGCGACCAGCAGATGAAAAACGAGGCAGCCACTGCAGCTAGAATTAAATATTCTTAAACACTTTTACTACAGTGGCTACTGCAATAGAAATATATAAGTTTGGTAAGAACAATTTAGAACAAGAACAGTTGGCAAGTTTTCACTGAAAATTAATTTATATAAGAGTCAAACATTAAAACGTAAAATAAAAATGTTATACCAGCGTATATTTGAAATTAAACCCATTATTACATAATGAATTGAAGTCTTATTACAATTAGTCATAGAATATATTTTACTGTGTTTACTTCGTTTTCATATAAACAATAAGAATTGGTCCAACTAACCCAACATTTTCACCGCTTTATTTCTATTGTGATGACTTATAGCTGGGTTCGCTCTGGATTTGGGTTCTGTAGTTTTTAATTTGTGAACTATCATAATAAACAGTACGAATATAACTGTCATTGGGAAAAAGAAGAACACCAACAACTCTACCGCCACGTAAATAACTTTTTCTCTCTCGGACACGGTAAAGACACAATACACGTTTTGTTTTCTTTCTATGAAATAAATGGAGTACACACTTGGAAATGAGAAAATACAAGATACAACCCAGGTCAATGTTAGTATTTTAGAAATACGCGAAGTCAAGAGTAGTCTCTGTCGTAGAAAAGGTTTCGAGATAACGAGGTATCTTTCTATTGTGAAAGCAAGAATCGTTAGAACGCTACAGTTACTTAGAAGGTCCCAAAGAAGAAAATGTATCCTGCAACCTTCTTCGCCAAGAGGATAATAATCTGGAACCCAAATTATATACAATTCAACTGGAACAAACACAGTTATCATGAGATCAGAGATAGCAAGATTCAGGAGATAACAATTAGTTGGAGTCCGCATGGTTTTATCTCTTGCGATGACAGCACAAGTGCACAAATTCCCAACTAAACTAAACACCATAGATGTACCGAGAACCAAAGTTAGTATACTTTTAATTAAATCACTTTCAACGAAATTACTCCTCCCGTCGTATAAAGAAAGGCCGATCCCATACGATGTGTATATATCATCGCTGTCCGTGATATTACCGATTGACAACATAGTAAAAATGGAATACACTTTTTTTTAACCGTCCGCACACGTCTTTCAAACAGTAGCGCCCGAGAGAAACCGCCTGTACGTGGAAACTTTGGAAAGCCATGAAAAAATATACAGGTTGTTCAAATCCGTACGCATTTTTATTTTATGTTTCAAAACTGACAAGTGTTTACCTATAAACATATTTATTCGTTACATAAGAACATAAATGTGCGTAATGGAACTGGTTAAAATTACTGTGATCTAATTTAGATTTGGAATTTTATAATATAACAATAATTTTTCCTCCGTCACAATTTTTAAGGATCATATTGAAACTTACTTATTGATAAAATATTTTGTAAACACTTCCTTATACATACATCTTATGTCATATAAAAATGTATGAGAAAACAGAACAACATTTTTATGACGAGCAATCATTACCGGAATAACGAAAATAAAACTACGTATTATTTTATAAATATCCCTATCACGTAACCTTGATAACTATCGGCAAGATTGTTTTATATCAATGTAAAAGTAATGTAGTTATTTTACTGCCAAGATTTGGTGTGTAACATAGCAGAAAAAGGTTTTGTTGTATCAGTGTACCGTGCAACTAGTCTCTTTTTATTAGGTATAAAAATAACTATTTTATAACGAACTTTTCAGAACACCATAGTGATAAAAGTAATTGACCGTATCCAAACAAGAGGGCAAATTACTAGCAACCATAGTAAGGCAACAGTCAACCCTAATTGAAATAGCAATGTAGTAGAAGGTTTCTACATATAGTATATTGTTTACATAAAGTTTTACGTGTATCAAGTAGAAAATTAGGGCAATGAATACAGACTTATAAATAAAATTTTATTTCTCTAACAAACTATTTAGTCTTTTAAATTCAATATTACAATAACAATCAATAAATTAATATCAAAACGGACTATCTTATAATATATACTTCTATATTCAACACAAATCTGTTTACAGTCATTGTCACAAATGTTTAAAACGCTATGACAGCTATGTTTAACTAATTAAATTATAATTATTAAATATTTTTGATTAATATAATCTAAGATTTTGAATTTATTCCTGACTAACTTTTTCTTTGATTTCTTGGCCCCATTCTTTGTGCGAACCGTCACCAGTCCTTTTAACACGCTTCTCAATGACGTCAGTTGATACCGTCTTAAGATCGTAGGCCCAACCAATTGTTGCCATGAAGTCGATGAATAGTTTCGAAAAGTTTAGCTGGTAATGTCCTAATTCAGCGGTCTTGTAGTCCCATGGGAAGGTATGGTGGTAGTTGTGAAAGCCTTCTCCCAGTACGACCAACGAAACCGGTTTAGTTTCTACTGGGTTTATGTTCTTGTCGTATGGTTTGTCGCCCCATTTGTGAGCTGCAGAGTTTACCAGCCAAGTTACGTTCAAGACGTATACATATCTAAATATAGCGCACACGAAATACGCGTTCCATAATGTTTCACCCCACAGAGTGGGAATGTAAGTTGGCAGAATGAAGCAGGCTAGAGGCATGAGTACAAGGTAGTGTCTGCAAAAAGAAAAGAGAAAATAAATAAAGTAAAAATTAAATAATTAAGAATATAAGAAGTATGGTATAATATTAAACGTTAGTACAGAAGTATCTCAGGAAACCCTTTTCTTCTTGAACATGTGTTCATAAATTTATATATATATCAATAATTTCATACAGGATAATTAGTTTCTAAATATTTAGCATCAACATTTTAAGATAATTAATATTAATTAAGAATCTTAAATCATTACACTAAGAATCCTGATAATGAAATTACCCTTCTCTATTATAAACCCACGTTGATCCTTAATGAGGAATGTTAATTACTTATATAGTATGTGATTGGTATACCTTGGAATCGAATCCAAACTTGTATCCAATTATTTAAACTATTGTTATAAAAAAATAGTTAAACATTACATTAAATTAGCTTATTGTTTAATTGAAATTAATTACATATATACATTAAACTAATAAAATTTTATAAAAATATTGCATAATATTTCTATTGATTATAGAAAGAACGTCTAAATATATAAATCAATTGGTTTCCCACAGAAAAATATTTATCTTGATTAATTATTTATTGCCGGTATACGTAGTAGAAAAGTTTGAAGATAGGTATACGAAATGTAACTAACTTCTTCTGGAATCGCAGAACAGGATCAGATTTGAGGTCACTCATGTCGATCGTGTGGCCTTTTGCTTTTATCTCTGGATGCTTCCTGACAAGCAGCCATCCAACGTGGGAGAAAAAGAATCCTCGGGTCGCGTTGTGAGGATCAGCGTCAGTTTCGGAGTATTTGTGATGCATACGATGGTCACGGGCCCAGTCTATTACAGAATCCTGAAATATAAAAATGACAATAAATTTCAAGTAAGTCAGAAGTACAGATTTTTCATTATGATTAATTATTGAAATACACAAGAGAAAATAAACAATACGCGCATACTAAAACCTTTAGAGACTCGCCATAGTTTTTATTGTATAAAAAAGAAATACAGATTTATTTTCATAACCAAACATTCATTAGATCTGCAACCTTTAATAAATTTCTCTTTAAATTTTCACATTTTATATTCTTACTAAATTCAATTTATTTCTATCTTGTTTTCTATTTTATGAATATTATTACTGGAAAAAAATATACCACGCGACCTTTTACTAAGAAAAAGAGATTTAAAATCTTTCAACATAAAAGAGAAGAAGCTTACGTAGTATAATGAACTATGCTAGAAATAAATTATTATCTGTCTCCATTATATACGAGACTACAAAAAAATTAATTATTAATCTTATTTCCAAAAATAATTAAATGTCGAATAAAAAGCAAGCTTAATGCTTACACGCGTTTAATGTTTACATTTAATAATATTTCATAAACAAAACACAGATGATTAATAGAGATAAGATTTGACTTTGACAATGACGTGATTACTGAGTAACTAGTCGCGTGTATTCCGAATCATGAATAAACATTACATTCAACACGTGGAGTTCAAGGTTCAGATCTCAAAATAGTCCAGTTGCTAACAAGTAAACAAAACCGATATGATTACATACAAAAAAAAAATAACACGCGACTCATTTCTGCTAAATAATGTATAATTATAAATATCGAGATCGGTTTAGGGAGGCGGTGCGGGAAAAGTACCAATCACGCGTACATCACTTGTATATTTAATTACAGATCAAAGGTGACATAATGAGCACATTAAGATACGACAATATTAATCGATGTCAAAATGTAAATAAAAGATGTAATGTCTGACAAAATGCTTTTACTTATGTCATGATAAAGTATATTTTATTGAATATATATATATATTGTTTTCAGCACCCTTACTACAAGTTTGCATGGTCACATTGCGTAAATGGCGTTTTCAAATTTTCATTCATGATTTTTTTACATGATTGTATCAAAATAAGTTTATGAACGAATAACTTGGAAAGAACCGTGTGTTAGTGTTAGGTGGTAAACTTGTAGTTAGGTTTTTTTTTGGTTAGTTAGTATAATTTCTCGGGACTGCTTTTTTTACAACAGGGTCAATATATAATGTAGTATAAATAAACTTTTATATAATCAAATATTGGTACGTTAGCTGGATCTTAATTGAAGTTAAGTTTTCTATTTCCAGTCTATACTTAATATTACTGACGTTCTAAATTCCTCTAATTTTCATATGACGAACTATGTAGTTTGATAGATTAAAATGTATATTGTAACTATAATAGGTTTTAAAAATATCAATCGAACCAGAAACTTTAGTAAACAGTGAAATAAAAATAACCTTCCTTTCCTACAGACACAATAATAAAATTATGCATGTAATCGCAAAAATGTGTACCGGCATAAGCAATCGGCTAAGTCTGATAAAAAGGCTGATATAAAATTGTATGAATAAAGTCGTAAATATATCTAATAAATAGTTTTTATCATAAGAGTATGAATGTTAAAATCTATTATAAATATTTATGAGCTCTTCAAGAATAAATATTACCTAATACTGAATATGTTCACGATAAATATGGAAATAATAAAAGAAAAATTACTTTAGAGCATATTTCTCTCATGTTTTAAGATAATCATACCTGAAATGCGATTGTGTTGAAGAGTGTTAACAGCATTCGTAGAGGGAGCTTGGCTTTGTATGATTTGTGAGCCCAAAGTCGGTGTGCACCGGCCGTTATGCCCAATCCGGAACATAAATATAGGACAACAGCTGTAAAATAATTATAAAATTTCAATAATTCCTATTACAGATTATGGTTCCATGTATGAGTCAAGTTTCTTTAGCAAGTTAAGAAGATGAAAGCAAAATTATATACGATATTTGGTATGATTAGGAATAAAGAAACCCAACAATTCTCTTTCCATTTCCTTATTATAATTAATTTAGTTGACATTTTCATGATCATAAAGCATATAAAATCGATTATTGAAACTTTCTATAACTTAAGATTGAAATTTTAAACTTGACTAGCCAAATGGAATGGCATTAAATTTTTGACTTTCAGGCGATAAAAATTACTTCCCCTCCATTGCTAATTTCTTTAGAAGGGTTTAGGAAATTTAAGTTGTTATTAACAATTTTAAATATCCACGAATTTCCAGGAACCAGATGTTTTTGATTCATTAAATTTCATCAATTGTTTTTAACAATCACTTTATTTTATGTAATATTTCTTACCGAATAATCTCGTAGACCACATAGCCTGCGTGAAAAACAAATAGGCGCCGTATACTCCTCCTATGTGTAATAATGCGAAAAGTATCACATTGCGCCAGACTATCTGAAGTTTTCTTTTCTCAGCTGAGGGTGGGACGATCGGTGTGTCGGCGTCTTTGTTTAAATCCGTCTCATTCAGCACCCAAGATTCCGATTGCTGGCCTTGTGGAGGCATTTTCGTCTGAAAAAAACTTACAATATTAATCTTAAGTGTTTTCTTATGTATCCATATCCATCCTAATAAAATTATATTATGTTTCTTCTGTATTCAAAGCATAGAGAAGAACCATTTAATATTATTAGGCTACTAAATAATTTCTGAATTTCTGTATTGTTCTAATTATATAGACGAAGAAATCTAGTTAATATTTGTCCAAAACAACATCCATCAGTGCTATTTTCGTGGAAGTTAATTTAATATTAATATTTTAACGTTGCCTAATTTTATGTCTTTATTAACATTTTAACTTAATGATATTACAAATTATTATGTTATAAATTGCTTTAATTTCTGATCATTATAACATGTTAATTGTCTCCCATCATAATTACCGTTTTCGTTCGAATACACACAATTTAATTATAACATTGGAACTACTAGATTATTTATTTAATTTTAAACATATTTATATTCATCATATAAAAGTTAACTTAATATTCGTCTGCCTCTAATGTTTGGTCCACATTCTTGTTTCTTTATGACCTTTAGATTATCGGCTTAATTTTGTATGAGATTTTACGACACAATTCATCCACTTCTTTATATAGTTGGATGACCATATTTAAAACATTTTAATATATTACGTTTAAATGAAGAATACATTATATCTGGTAACTATTTATTTTACGTACATATAAATAGGTATACTACAGTAATGAATTGTTTTAGCGGCTTCATTTTCTGTTTTTAGTGACACTGCTTTCTAATTATCTGTAACTACGTTCGAGTTTTTAGTACTTTTTCTTTGCAGTAACGTTAATTGTATTCGCTATTCTTTGTATTCTAATTAGTTTTTATTAAAAGTACTAGGAAATTTTATTTAAATAATAAAGGCTTATGATATTTTTTATAAAGAAATTTGTTTTGATAGAGTTCTAAATTTAAGTTGGCTTAACAGAGAAGTTAAAAAAATGTCATTGTTCATCAATGATAATTACAGTTCATTGAATTAGAAAATATTTTAATATCGTCATTAATTTATTTTAGGCATTTTACTATTAATCTTTATTATACGTGACTGTCAATTTTATTCTTTATATCAAATAAAAAATAAATATGTATTGGATTATAAATGTAAATATTTATTGTGTGATATAAATAATAAGATGTAATATTGATTTGTCCTTGACATGTCTTTACAGTGGCGTAGGTAACCTTTGACAAATTTATTGGACCCGTATTGAAAAACCTTTTTCTTAGAAATCTCCTTTGGTTTTCAATTAAATAAAGTGAGTACTTAGAAATTGTAGGAAAACAAATTACTTTTATTCACCACTTGAAAGATATTTAACGTAGTAAGAGAAGCATTTCTAGATAAAAAATAATACCTAAAATGTTACAACCTAAGTGACCTACTTTGAAATTGTCGTTTAGAAAATTAATGAAATTAACGATCATAACGTTAAGAAATTATACATTTCTTTTTTTATATAGCTCAAGGGCCCCGGGTTTTCATATTTACGGAACTGTTGAAATAGGTGATGGTATAATCTTAATTTTGACGTTACTCAACAGTACCCTTAGCCCCAGTTTGCATAATGAAATATGGATCGTTTACAGTTTTCATTCATTAACCTCCGTTCATAATATCATGTATGGGGATTTGTGAATGAAACACCGGTGACGCTGCGTATTTAGTTTGACAGTTTGACGATGCAAAATTTTGGTAGGCGGTGGTACGAGTAGATGCAGTGGCGATTACCAATCTATGTAGCCTTTTGACTTTTTACTGTATTTCTTACTAAATTTTTAATAAGTGGGACATATTTAAAAAAAATAGATTATGAAATTAATTTTATATACCTGTATATACAATTGTTACCAAATAAGAATTGATTTGTTATAAAAATTACTCCAACTAATTTTACGACTTTGAGAAACTTCTTAAGAACATAATGTGGTTTTGTTCAATGAAAAACAATTATTGTTCTTTTAAACACTTAAAGAAATTGTTAGTATGATAAAAAAAAATCATTGATACATGGAATAATCCATAATAAAAATTACTTTCCTAGCAATTTCTATCCACAGGTTACATATATATATGTATATACAATTAACAATTTGACTCTATCGTGTGTTCAAGCATGGATTTCTAAGTTTTATTTTATTCCAAAACAAAACATACATACATGTACATTATTTGATGAAGATAATAAATGAATAGTACAATAAAATTGTAAATGCTTACAGTAACGTAATGTCCCTTTTAATTACGTGTGTTATGTGTTATGCTTACAAAAGGAAAATACTGTTAGTCGTCGACATCTGACCTCGTGGTACGATCGAATGATGGAAAGATGATGCCATCATGTCAATAGATAAGATAATATGCAAATATATCGCATTTACTTTTGTGTTAAAATATTTTTATTTAATATAATATTATTCTATTTTCTTTTAAATCAAAGCCACGCTATAGTTTTATAATTGTGGTATATTTTTGTCTTTTATGCTATAATGAATATAAATAAAATAATGGCCAATTTTATATTTTCGGTCCAATTTTTATTATTTAGTTTTTTCTCGATATAGAGTAATTTTTAAGAAACTGAAATAACAGATTTTCTTCAACGAATTTGTTAATATCTTTAAATACATAAGTCTACATTTCATATAAGACCTATGTTAAAATTGGACGAAAAACTTTTTGTTATATAATTATTTCTATTTTAATAAAAAATATTTTTTTTTATTTTTGTAATTTTGATATATTTTAGGTATATATGAATTCACAACGATTTAACGAATCTTATTCTTTAGTTTTCATTTAAAAAAATATATTAAATTTTTTAAATAAAAAGAAAAAATTGAAATAAAAATGAAAATATCAAATAATAATAAATAAAACTGAAACAAATATTATTTAAGAGACGCATAAAAAAAAACTTAATAAAATTGAATTGAAACAAAACGTGACATGATATTTCACTTACCTTGTTCCCGTGGGAATTGTAAGGCAACTTATTTCACCGAAGAGGTTTATTAAGTTAGCACTTTGACTGCGATCGGATTTAACGTTCTCGAAAGACTGCAAGGAGAAATTTGTTTACAGCGAATATATATGACATTAGATTGTTTTGACGCTAATACTATTCGTATCTTTCGGTTACATAATGTTGTATAAATGATAACAAAAATTGCACTCTTAATGACGGTAAGTGTAAAAAAAAATATTCCACTGAACAATTTTCGACAAGGCGACTGTACAATGACTCTTGCGCATTCGCAACTGACGTTTCGCTGATGTTAGCACTGTACTATTATCATTAATTACCGAATTGCGGTTTCCAGTTACAATTAAATCATTGCTATTTATGACGAAATCTATTTTACTTTGTTTTTTTTTAGATACCAGAAAAGGATTCAGATTCTAAAAATAATATTAAGGTGCTTTCCTTTACTTTTTTTTTTAGTTTAAGTACGAAAACTATTATTGTTATGTTACCTTGAAGTTAGTATGCTCGGCATTTTTTTATTATCATGTAATAAAAATGTTTATTTTATTTCAACACTGATCAAGAAATTTATATGTTCTAGGTCAATTGGAGGTGCATCATAGTTTTATCATTTAGTTAATTAATTATTATCATTAGTTCAAATAAAACTTCAAACTTTCATCATTTTCTTTCCATTCGTAATACTGTTTTAATAAATAAAACTAATGAGTTCGGATATAGTTATAAATATTTTTTTTTCATCTTTTCAGCTTTATCTTCTTGTCTGGTTGCTACAAACGAACCGAAGCGTCGGGAATATGTAGTTTAAAAAAATAAAAAACGCGATAGTACATACGAAAAAATTTGTGTGGTTTTAATAAATACTCGAAAAAATCTTAGATATCACTGTTTAAATACAACAATTGTAGCAGTTGATAGTACCTAATAATAAATACCATATAATTATATTTTTATATAATCAGATTATTAGGGAAGTTACGTCCTAAGGAATAAGCATAATGAACATAGTTTTGAACGTGAAAAAATGCTTTAGTATCGGTATCACAACATTCGGAGCGTTTCTCCAACTTTTTACACTGAACTGGTTTGTGAGAAACTGTAAAAGTTCCGTTAGTATTGTGGCTACGAAAACTTGTGGTAAGGGTGCAGATAATTATGATGAATATGTTAGTCTCATTGAAAATTCTACAAATTTTTTGTTTTTTTTTCATTTGCAATAATGACACTAAAATAAACGGGTGTAGTTCAAAAACTAAAAAATTTTTTTAACTTAGTTTTATTGGCGATAAATAAATTATTAATAGTCTCCTCTATATTTTTATCATGATGTCTTCATTTATTACGGTTTTCTTGGTTCAAAATTAAGGCAAAAAATGGAACAAATGTATTACAGTAAAAAAAGTTTAATGCAATATAAAGTGTACATTAACATTGTAAACAACTCAGTAGTTGTCACAACTGTTAGTACATTTTTAAATTATCATTGTTATTGCCAAATATTTTGGCAAAAAAAGTACAATAATACAGATACTATAGATAACAAGTGATTATTATCTTTACTAATCTTATTAGCATTGATAAAGATTTATTGGTATATTTAATCCCTAATATATCATATTTTGAACATATACAAAACAAGTAATTACGTGTGATAAATAAATTCATCCGGCGATTCTGGGTTAATAATATCAAAGTATAAATGAAACTAATATTTTCGGATTTACAACGAGATTTTTTTGATTATAAACTACATAGTCCCGACGTTTCGGTTACTTTACAGCAACCGTGATCACGGGCAGACGAGATGTGAGTGTCTCAAATTATGTATATCACAGTAATTTTATCTTTTTTCAGCTTTTTATTGATAAAGTAAACTTTGGACTCATGTTCACTTTATTTTTGTTCTATATTACAAAGTCATTAAACTTTAATCATAATTATAATAAAAAGATTTTTAATGGGTGTTATATATGTATTTTTGTTGTAATTAATTTA